ACACCAAGAAAAGAACTCTGAGAGGGGGCTTAACAGTTCACGCCTTCATTTACCATCATGGGCTGCAGAGGAGTCTGGTTGAAGGTGCAGGCAGACTGGGCATGTCTGCAGCTCCTCTTGAACACGAACTCCTGAATTCATTCATCTGGTGGTTATCTACTAAACACGTACTATGTGTCAGGCTTGGGCACCGGGGATACAGCAGTGAACAAAACAGACAGAGATCCCTGTTGGAATGGAGCTGACATTTCAGCCAAGGAGACACATAAGATTAAAAAAAAATTAAAATAGGGCAGTGAGGTAAGGCCACATTGAGAAGGTGACATTTAAACAGAGACCTGAAGAAGGTGAGTGAGTGAGCCATATGGATGACTAGGGAAAGTGCTTTCCTGCAAACAGCAAGTGCAAAGGTCCTGGGGCAGAAGCACATCTGCTACGTCCTGGGAAGGACAGTGAGGAGGCCAGTGTGGCTGGAGCAGAGGGCAGGAGAGGAAGGGAGAGCAGAAGAGAGGTCAATAAGGAGCCAGCAGTCAGATAACACTGGGCCTTGGAGGTCAGACTCCAGTGAGATGGGAGGACACTGAGGGCTGGGGGCAGAGTCACAGCCTGATCTGACTGACTCATAAGTAGGTGAGTCGTCAAATATATAAGGTGTAACCACGTAAAGATCATTTGTGGCCTTAGGACATTCGGTCACAACAAATAAGCATCTCATGGGCAAAACAGCCCACCCATGCTGGAAGGGCTGGAGAGTCTCCTCATGTCCATAAAAATAACGTGTGTGGTCACTCTTAATGCACGAGAAGGCCCCGTGACCCTGGGCATCTGAGTGTGGTTACTAGGGGTTACTGGCACTTCCCATGTCTCCAGCTGGCGGCCGTCTTGTACCCAGGCTCTCCTATACTGGGCAGAGCCTGCACCCACCGCAGCTCTAATCCACAGCTCAGCACTTACAAGGTGTTCATCGAGTGACCCAATGTCCACCCTTCACACCAGCCTCCCTCGCCCTCACAGGTCCATGTCTCCATCCTGAAGACCAGGGCTTGATCCCCAGCACCATGGCCCAAAAGCACGGCGCCCCCAAACTCACCGGGCACGGAGAAGGGGGACAGGAAGGCGGCCTCCACTGGTTCTGGCTCCAGAGGCAGTGGCAGGGGTGACGGCTGCTGCTCCTGCTCCCGTGGCGGCTCTTCGGTATTCTCCCCGGGAACGTTCCCGTTCTCCATGTTCTCGTGCCTCCCATTCTGAAGTGGCTTGCTGCTCACGCCGTTTGCCGAGTTGATCAGCCTCTGCCTCTGTGTGGACAGAAGGCAAGATGGACACCAAGGCATGTGACAAACTGTCGCCCTGTTGCTTTGTTCCTCACATTCAGGTGACCCTTAAAGATTTCTAGAACAACACCCCTGGAGACAGGTTTGCCCGAGGAATGGCACAAGGACCTTGGAATCCAGCTCAGTTTGCTCATGTTCCCCTTGGACCCATCCCAACACCACCAGGTCAGAACCCCGGGCCGCCTCCTCCTAGTGCCAACCTGCCAACCCAGCCCATAACATTGGATGACAGTGATCACTCCAGCCACCCCAGGGGATGGTCATAAACCACCTGAAGACAGTCACAGGAGACACTTTGCAGAGTTAAACAGAAAAAAATTTTTAGGTAGATCACATAAAAAATACACTTATAGTAAGTGTACAACAGCCCAATGATGCTTCACATTAAGACCTAGAACATTTCTAGCCCCTCAGACGATTCCCTTAGGGTCCCCTGTCTCCAGAGGTCAACCAGGTAACCTCTATTCTGACTTTTATAAACATCAACTAGTTTTTCCTGAATCTGAGCTTCATATACATGGATTCAAAGAGTACATATTATTTTATGTCTGGCTTCTCTCACTCAGCCTAGTATCTGTGACGTTCATCCACGCTGTTGCATGAATCAGTAGTTTTCTATTTTCAGGGCTAAATAGTACTCTGTTGTGTGAATGACCCACCATGTAGCCTTTGCCTGTTGATGGGCATTTGGATTGTTTCCCCTTTTCCGTTATCATGAAGAAAGCTACGAACATTTGTGTACATGCCTTTTTGGGGACACATGCACTCATTTCTCTCGGGTATAGGAGTGGGACTGCGAGGTCATCAGGTAGGTGCATGTTGAGCCATTTTACACTCGTACCAGCATAGGATTACAATTTCAGTTGCTTCCCGTCCCTGTCAACGTTTGATATTGTCAGTCCTTTTAATTTCAGCCATGCAGGTGGATGTGTGGTGGTATCCAATCATGGTTTTAATCTGCATTTCCCTCATAACTAATGATGTTGAGCACCTTATTATGGGGTTACTGGCCATCTGGAGGGCCTCTGTTGTCCAAGTGTTTTGCCACAGCTGATGAGTGTGCTCTGAACCAATCTGTCCCCTCCCCTTTCCCATCTCCTTGGAGCTGTTGACCAAGTCTGCCTCCTTTCCGCCCATGCAGAAGCCAGCTTTCCTCGCCAAGTCTGTGGTTTTCTACTAAACCAGGGAAAAGCAGAGGCCACATTTCAAGAAATCAACAGGTTCCCACGTTCCTGAGAATCTGTTTGCCTTTGCACAGCTCATCTTTATCTGATTCTCAGGAAAAATATTTGTGGACCAGCTTTAGTCCTTGTGGGTAATGATCCTCACACAGTGGACACATAGGTCCTTCCCAATCACTTCAACAGGAGACCAGACACATGCCCCAGGTGATACTCCATAACTGTGGGGGCCTGACACTTATCTTTGTGGTTACTGGAAGCAAAAAAAAAGAGGGAAAAAAGTCATTATTACTTAAAATGGAGGCATGTTATTTTTCTAAAAGAAAAGAGGAATTGACTGTTAAATGCCTTCAAGCTGGCTTTCGGCTGGGGCTCCTAAGTCATGAAGTCTAGGGTTTGGTGGAAATTTAAAACTTTTTCTCCTATGAGTGTGTTCCCCAACACTTAGCCCACTGAAAAGAGCAAAGTGATCTATGCCTGAGACTCAGGCCCAGGCATGGAGGCATAATATTTTGCTGCCCAAATAGAGTTAAATGAAAGGTCATCCTTACAGTTTAAAAAAAAAAACCTACAAACCAACCAAAAAACCTAATAGCTGTGTAAGGACAGAATTGTAAGGAGGCAGGGCATGACTCAGTGGGAACATGAATGGTAGCAAAGGGAGGAGGTCATGACTTGAGCTTATTAATAAGAATCAACAGAGAATTATACTTGAAAAATAATCTACAGCTACCTGAGGTTGTATTAAAAGAGGCATAAATTACAACACAAAGGAGGTGATAGATCCACATGCTGGGAAAGACAAATCAGAAGGTTTCTATAGGAGAGTAACGGATTGGTGAGGACCAGAATCCTGCCACATTAGGGAGGGTAGGAAGTTCCAAGGATGTTTATTTTTATTTTTCCAAGGATACTTAATTCAAAAAGAAAATCAGAGGTGGCAACCACAGCTTGATGTCCAAAAGGCTGACACGTGGAAGAGGCAATAAATAACAAGCAACTCAAGCAGGGGCTGGATATTATAGAGTGAATAAAGACAGAAAAAGAAGGGAGCAAGGGAGACGGACTAGACTGACCCCTAAGAATCTATGCAGTTCCCCTTAAGTAGTCTAGACTCTGATTTTGGTTGGATTTCCTGTTCTGCCTTCTTACTAGTTGTGTGGCTTTGGGAAAATTACTTACCTCTGATGAATTGGAAATATCACAGGACTAACGCTGTAACACAGGTAAAATATCCAGCACCAGTGCCAGGCACACAGCGGGGCTCAGTAAATTAGAGCTAATTGTGCAGCTCAAAATAACCAGCATCCCGGTGAGAGAAGAGGAGGAGAGAGTTCTGGGGATGAAAGAGGTGGGGGACCAGGTGGGATGGACACACAGGAGGAAGGAGAAACCAAGGGTGGGTGAAATTCTGGGCCCTTTGGCAACACATCGTGGTGACTAAGGATGTGGATGGTCAAGTCCGGTCAGAGGTAGCCTTGGAGTAAAGGAAAAACAGAGCCTCACCCCCTCCCCACCAGCACCCACCCCTCCATACGCTTTCTGATGATGAACAAAGAATGGCATCCATCCCACGGGCATTTCTACCATGGATTAATTTTAACTTCGCAAACTTCTCTGAAACCTTCTAGAATTAAAATGAAGAGGAAATGAAACCAAAGGGTCTTAAGAAACAACCTCAAAACTGGACATTTTGTGGCTTTCATTCTCCCCCATCCCCATCCCGTGATGAGTTTCCTCGATGACACTGCATAATCCCCAGGCACAGCCTTTGTGTCGTGTGTCACTGATGTTTTTTGAGTTGGAAGCATTCTGCCCAACACCTCCTCATAGAGAAACTGAGGCCCAGGAAGATTACGTGAGTTGGTGGCCAATACAAGATTAAAACTCAGAATTTCTTCCTCCTGAGCCTGGCTCCCCACACTGCCTGCCAGGGCAGGACAGTCCCAACGTGGTAGAAGACATGGTTCTCCCAGAAGCTCAAAACATGTGGGGGGCAGGAGGGTCTTGTAGCAGCTCATCAGAACCCCCATTTCCTTGGCTGTGGATACTGGAAACCCAAATCCTTAACAGGTGCTCACCCAGCAACCAGTGGGTACCATCATCACACTGTGAGAAACGGCCACAATTCATTAAAATTTCACCGATTTAAATTTTATTGCTTTGGACCAAAATGATGCAGAACGGGTCAAAGCTTGCAATTCTTCCTTTTCTTCGTACACTTTCCATAGAGAGGGCACATTACATATAAAATCAAAGCAGAAAAGTTCAAAATACAGACCCTTTAAGCACTGTCCATGGTGTTCTTCCATACAACCCGTGTGCTAATGACCCATGTTTGTGCATGGAAGGCTGAAGATCTGTGTCTGAGGATAAGGGCTAAAAGCCCCAACACGCACATATACAGCAAAGTCCAGGAAAGTTGGTAAGCAAAACTCCTGTTAGCTTTGCTCTACTGTTTGTATGTTAAATAAGATTCAAATGTATTAAAAATGTTTTTTTCTTCCCAAATGAGAAAGGGACATGGCACACGTTTTCAAGAAGAGCTCTGGGGTACAGAGTGCAAAGGAAGTCCCCAGGGGTAACTGCCACCCACCAGTGTCTCGGTTTCCTTCTAGAGTTGCTCAATGCACAGAGAACAGGTGTGTGCGCGTCCTTTTTGTCCTAAGTAACATTAAACAACAACAACAAAATAGTCCATACTTCAGACCTTGCTCAAATTAGTTTTATCTAGTACTTGACAAAATACTAGGTGGAACATGGCAGGCATGGTATTCAATTGCTATCTGCCTTAAAATCTCTCCAGATAGGACCATTTGCTGCCTGCAGGTGATGTATGGGTTCCAGGTGACAAACGCCAGCCTGGCAGAGGATGCCCAGGGTCCGACAGCAGGAAGCGTCCTGATGAGCCAGGGCCTCCTCGGAGTATCTGACCCGCCCGAGGCCGCTCGCTCTCACGCTCTCACGGTCCTCGAGGCCAACTCACCTCGTTAATTATGATCCTGCTGGCCATGCGCAGCCGTGTCCGGGGCCCAAACTTATTGGTGATCATTATGCGTAAGCCTGCCTCTGGGAAGTTGAACTTGGGAGGGCTGGAGCTCATGACCTCGTCCACCATCACCACCGGGTTTTTGCTGTACTGTGGCTCCTCCTTCACTGTATTGAGCACAAAGCCATGATTAGCATTGTGACCCAAGGAAGCAGAACCCAAGTTCTGGGGGACTGACTTCCCCTCGCATTGCAGACGTCGTGGGCTGTAGGCACAGCAGCCATAGGCACCTGGGAGCCTGGCTTCAGCTCCTCCTGTTAGTCCACGTGCGCCCCTGGGTTGGAACCGCCTGCTGACCACAAGCATTAAACAGAGCCCCGTGGTGCCCCATGGTCCCCTGTTACAGGACCACTCCCACACCTCCATGGCTAGCGCCCCTGCCAGTCAAGGCCCCTATCTTCTGGGGCCCAGGCTTGGCTAATTGCAAAGGTCTCTTAATTCCTCATCTAAGCCTCCCGGGGCAGCCAGCCCACCCATAAAGTGGACAGGCCCCTGCCATCTCTCACCTGTGACTCTGAGGGGACTTTCTTTCCTTCTGTTTACAGAGGCTCAGACAAAACTTTACAAATTGACAAGGGCCCCCTGGAATGGAAAATGCTGGAAGACACCAGAGGGTACTGGTTCTAAACATCCATGAGGCCACCTGCTCTGTCCTAGAGGAACCACCTCCAGCTGGCACAGAGGGTGCATCTAAATTCGTTCTCCGTGAGGTAGGCAGTGAGGTCAAAGATCTGGATCACAGGCCCTGGAAGAGGCGACTGAGACCCAGGACAGCAGCCTGCTTGCGGAGGGTGCATGGTGAGCTGCCGGCCAAGCCAGGGGTCCCAATAAAACCAGCGCCCTCCCGCAGGGAGGCTACACTCTCTGACCCTTTGCTTCTGCTCAGGAGGCAGAAGAACACCTTCCTTGCCACCTTCACAAACATGCTCTGGGCTAGAATCCTGGGGAGTTTGACATGTGACTCCAGAGCCCTGGAGGGTCCAGAAACAGACACACTCGTGAACACAGCACACAGAAGCAGGGGGGGCACTCCCCTCCCAGGGCTATCAAAGCAGATACGCCCGTCCCTATGCACTGGTTACCAGCTCCCAGTGAGTGACCTTGCTGGGTAAGAGTAACCAGAAGCAACTGAGAGCAAACCTGCACTCGAGTTAATGGCACAAACACGAACAAATGCACACCAGACACACGCACCCTCACCAAACAGGCAGCAAGGCTCAGCAGACAGGAGGCGTGTGGTTAGAACCAAAGCCAGGAGGACCATGCATTTGTCGGAGACAGACGCTAACCGCCAACGGGGCGTGCGCTGGACTCATGGATTTTTTTTTAATGCATGTGTTATTGCTTGGATGAAAGCAGATTACTTACAATTTAGAAGAGAAGAGTTAAGGAGACAAAGGCCAACAGAGATTGCCAGAGATGATTAGCGTGCGGTGGATGCCGAGAGTCGGGGCAGCATTCTTGATGGTGGCCAAGATGCCAGGGAGTTATTTGAAGGAGGGTGTTAGTAGAAGGGCTTCAAGGCTCGGGGCCTCTGGCCTCCTGGCAGAACTCCACAGCTCGGCCCCACTCGGAGGAGCAGGAGCCCCTGTGCCCACTGCCCCTCCCTGCTGCAGGAAAGCTGGAATCCCTCCCTCCCAGATGGGGAGACCAGCCAAACAGTGGCAGGCGCCAGCCTCTGTCGGTAGAAACAGCCCTGTCAAAGGCACCGCCTGGGGGAACGACTGGGCCCAAAAGGAGGGAAAAGCTATGAAACTTGGCTTCTCTTGTCCTGGCACCGCCCACTAAGGGGCAGCACAGGGTGATATGTCCAAACCAAGGGTGCCTGCCCAGCAGGTAACCTGATCAGTTACAGCATGTTTTTCTGGCAGTTCAGCCTAAGGCCAGGCATCACTCCCTCCCTCCCTCCCTGATCCAAGCCGAAGTTGTATCCAGGGCCATGGCAGCTGGGAAAGGTCCCAGAGTGAGCCTAGCTAGGGGTCAAGATGGCCCTGGCTGTCAGGCTGTGTGCTAGGCCACCGGACAGCCAGCAAGGAGGGGCCGGACTCCCAGCTGTGGCGGGAAACGGCGTGCCTTCCTGCCTCAGGCCCAGGCACCTTTTCTTGGTGTACTGTGCTCTGCTTTCTTGAGCAGAACTGAAATGGGATGTAAAATAATTTGTAAAAGTTTTAGGGAAAAACCCCAAACAACTGAACATAGAACAAAGCTGGAGGATGCTGTCTCCCCTAAAAGGGAAAACTGGTCTGAGCTGGTCTGGTGAGCTGACCTGCACGACCTTTAAGAACATTTAAGAACATAAAGGCATTTTATAAGAGTAGGGGGTAAAAGGGCAGTTTTCTCTCCTGTCAAGAGACTGGATTAAACAAACTCCAAAACTGACAACAGTAAAATCAGGTAGGTGTGTGTGGGTGTGCGGGTGTTCCTGAAAGGACCTACCAGCCAACAATCTTTGACTTCCCTGGGTGGGGTGGTTTGTTCAATCTGCCTGGAGGCTGAAGACTTGGTGGCGGGGAGCTCTGGGTTGGAAAGATTCTGTGGCAACACTGTCAGAAAAGGCAAAGTCCCAGAGCCCCACTGTTCCCCTCAGGCCTCTCTGGGGTGTCATGAGTGCCCCTTCTCCGGCCCTAGTCAATCTGCTTCTAGGGGACAGGGCCTGAAGTGACTCTCACACGGCCCTCTGGGAGGGAAGGGGCACCATCGAGCGTGGCTGCCTCTCTGGGCCTCCACCTCTTCAATTCCAGGCCTGGTCCCCCCAACCCCCTGGACCTTTCCTCCTTGGCCTTTACCTAAATGCATCCACACTGACAGGAGTTGGAGGGAGGCCTATTTTTCCAGAAATTTCCCTGGGCTTAGAGCTTTGGGGAAAAGTAACAAACTTGCAGGAAATCCTACTGTCATGGGTACACAGGTGAGGGAGACAGGGCCACCAGAGAGCATCTGAAAAGGCCCCAAGTGAGCTGTGGCCTCAGGGCAGCCTGGAGTTCCCCGGAGGAGGAAGTGGCTCACACCCCCATCATGTGGCACTGGGCACGGGCCTCCTCCGTCAGCCACATGGGCTGCAGGTAGCTCCTAGGGCTGGCACCTGAAAACGCAAGCATTTTCTGCTGGCCTGAATGACAGCATTCAGAATCTCTCCTCTTGCCGTGAAGGTGCAGAGGACCCCAGGAGCACTGATCCCCGTGTACGAGGGTGGCCAGCAACAGCCGCTGCTTGAGAGGCTGTGTGTGGGGACTGTCTCAGAGCCGCTACGTCTGTGGGGCTAAAATCCAGAAATCCTCCCCTTCTGGGGAGGTTGTCCTGGAAACGGACCCTCCCCTGGGGTAGTCTGCTCGGCGTTTAAGGAACAGGACACATCGCACAGCCCCACGCTCTACAGGCATCTGATCTCTGTCCCCCACAAGCGGGCCTCCGGCAGCCTTGCTGGCACCCATATCCTCCCCCAGCAGCCCTCATCCTGCCGTGTGGAAAGACTCAGCCCTCACTCCAGCACCTAGGACAGGTGCCCTCCTCTCGGGGTTACCCAAGACGGGACAGAGCATACTTGCCCAAAGTGCCCAATGGGGGAAGCTCCTACCCTGATCTGCCTCAGGGTGGAGACAGGGGAGGGGGCCAAGGGTATAGGTTCTGGGCCCCACATGTCCCTGATACAGGCAAACAGTCCCCTGAGACTCCACAGTGATATCAGAGGGGCCACAAAGGAATTAAAGTTGCCTGAAAGAGGATGTGACTTGTCCAGGGCCAGGAGGAATAAGGGAGAAAGAGGGCCAGTCCAGGGTGCTCTCTCCTGGATAAGGTAGAACCTGGCAAAGCCAGCTTCAGCTGTTTGTTCCAGACGCGAACTACAAGAACCAACTCAGGCCTTCACACAGGTCTTGGGGGGGAAGAGTGTGAACCCCCTCGCCTTCCTGGCGCTGCCTCCAGATGGAATCACCTGGTCACCAGCTGCATTAAGAAATGAGGACAAGGTTTCCAGGGCAGTAGCTGGTCGGGCCTAGACATTCGGGGGACTTGGCAGAGATGACACTCTGGGTTGGCTCTGAAGGCCCAGAACCCCCGGATAAGGGAGCCAAACAAGCCAAGGAGACTAGGCTGCAATCCCCAGGGGAAGGGGCTCCTGAGCAGGGCTCTGGGCGGGTGGGTCTGGGAACTCCTGGTCAGCTGTCTTTCCCAGACTTGCTGCTCCTCTGGGCGGTGAGCCGGTGGGCTCTCCAGAACTGAACCTGGCATTTGAGAAACCACAGGGAACCCCAGGCCCACACTGCCACCCCAAGTCCTCAGCTTCCTGTCACTGGCCTGTGACGCTGGTCAAAGATGTCATTCACCGCATTTCAGGAAAGCCAAGCCAGCCTCGAGCTTTCCTTGGGAGGCTTGGGGAGACCCCCAAGGATGTGATTTTTGACTCCTGAGTCATCCTTCTCCCATCTAAGCAAATGACCATCTGAGCCACATGCCTAAATGACTGGCCCTCCTCATTCAGGATCCTGTGACCAATGGTAAGAGAATGACAATTTAGGGGAAGAGTGTGTGTGCGCGCGCAGGCACACACACACAGAGAAGGGGAGAGTGGTTTCTACGGCACCGTTGGCCCACTCCTGTCTGCTCAGCCTTACCTTGCCCCAGCAATGGCACGGAGGGGTCATCAGAGCTACTATCACAGTAATCATTACCATCCTCCAGCTCACTGTTGACCGTGTTGCCATTTGCAATGGCCTTTTGTTTGATTGTGAAAAACGCCTGCATCTTCACATTGTACCTGCAAATCAGTTAAGGCAGGAGGTCAGAGCTGCAGGAGAGACCGGCAGGGGCGTGGGCAGGGGCCTCCCCCTCCTCCCCCTGCCCTTCCCTGTGCACCTGCAGGGATCCTGGCCCTGGCGAGGGGCTGGGGAACTAAGGCTTTTCAACTGAGCTGATGAGAGTTTCCTGACAAGAACTTTGGAACAATGTGCAGTCACAGGGGGCCTGCTCCTACTGGGATGCCAGTGGGCTTCCTGAGGGCATAAGAGAGCTTCAGCCTTAGAAAATCAATGAGGCCTACTTATGCCTGCCACAAGCCTGTCCTAACAAAAGAAGTTCAGCCCAGCTTCGGGACAGGCTCAAAGCAGGTGTCTGTCCCACAGCCGCCAGCCTTCCCTGAATCATTCCCACCTAGCATCACAGTTCCCACAGAGAGGAAACTCCACCCCAGACCCCAGGCTGCCTCGCTGAAAGGCACTCAGAGAGAAGATCATTTAAGGACAATTCCCTTGCAGTTTGACGGCTGATTCCCCATTCTTATAAAACTGTGAACTCAGGGATTCAGTCTCATAAGACTCAGGCGTGTTTTTCTCTTCAATCACCTGTGGAGGAGTGAGGAGAAAGCTAAAACTGAACGTGCCTTAGCTCATGGGTGGGTTTTTTTTTAATTGTGGAAAAATATATGTAACATGAAATTTGCTGTCTTAACCATCTTGTAAGTGTACAGTTGAATCGTATTAATTACATCCACATGTTAGGCAACCGTCACCACTATCCACTTCCTGAACTTTTTCAGCACCCCAAACAGAACTCCGTTCCCATTAATCAATTAACCATTCATTACTCCCTCCCGAGCACCTAATCAATCTCTAATTTGCTGTCAGCCTCTAGGAATCTGACTCTCCTTGGTAACTCAGCTGAGTAGAACTGTACAGCATTTGTACTTTTGAGAGGATCCCTTTCACTGGGTATAAGGTCCTCAGGGTTCATCCACCTTGCGGCATGAGTCAGAACTCCCTTCCTTTCTATGGCTGAGTAATACTCGTCATGGGTAGTCTTGAGATGATTCTGACCTGGGCAGCTTCCGGAGGCCCTCGAGGGTGCACAGCCCCGGACCCAGCATCTGCATCTTTAGAACTACAGTGGTGCCCCTCTGTGCTTGTGCAAGGTGGTGGCCCTGAGAGGTGGCATTTTATGGAGACTGGAGAAAGCGTGGCTGCCTGGCTTTTTCGAAAGAATCGTATTAAATTATTAGGCAATTTACAGAGACAGCAAAATAGGGTGGTCACCCTGGAGCGTGGACCTAGGCGTGGAGCAGGCGGGAGAGGCCCTTGCCTCCTACTTGTTTTGGGAGTGGCTTCATCCTCCACGCACCAGCCACCCAGCACGACTCCCCTGGCCTGAGCGCAGACAGCACCCTAAAATTGCATCTGAACATCTCTCTCCAGAGAACTGGGGTGGCCAAAAGTGACCGAAAGCTCTGATGAAGGTTTTCTCTTGGCTCTGACAAAAGGCGAGAGCAGGATGTGGAACGAGGGGTCAGACAGCCTGGAAGAAAAGGGCACTTACTTCATGATCAGAATGTAAAACACGTACAAGATGATGAGCACCAGGCCTTCCCACCTCAAGGAGAGAAAGGAGACTGGTTAGAGCCAGGGAGGCCTGTGGCGCTGCAGCCATGGCGGGATGTCCTGCTACGTCCCCTGACCCAGTGCCCAGCCCAGGCCCCCACCCCCAGCTGTCCTGCAGCCCGAAGCCCGCTTGGTAACGAGAGAGAAGGCTGAGGGTGGGTCCTTCTCAACTACAGGGAGCCTGTAGGACTTGGGAGGAGTTTCCCTGGCTACCTAGAAAAAGGAGGGGCCAGGGTCACCTCATCCCAGATTCAAGGAAGGGAGTGGCCTGGAGTCAGGCAGATTTGATCCTAAGAGGCCCTTTGGTTACATGGGATTCTGGCCATGGACCAGAGAAACTGTGTGTGCAGGTGGGAAGGGGGCCCTAAGAACTGCCTGATGAGACAGGCCGGGCCCAGGAGCCTCCTGGGCTGAATGTGGGGGTGCGGCAGGGTAGGGCAGGGGCCTTTCTGGGCTGTGCTGACTACCCTCCTGCAGATGCAGCGTCAAACCCCACACGTGGTGGGATTTTTCTTTTTTATCCCAGCTCAGAACATAAGACTTTGGGGAGTCCTAATTTTAGCATGGCTTAATTTGTTTGGTCATCTGACAAATGTGTACTGAAGACCTACTATGTGCCTGGCATGAGCTACAGTCGTTTTGGGGGGCTCTCCTCTGCTGACAGAGCTCGTGGCCCAGCAGAGCCGCAAAGAGAGTTGTAGATGATCTGATCCTGCCATCTCCCCAAAACTCCATCTACAGATGAGGAAAAGGAGCCCCAGAGTGGAGAGGCTTTCTGACTAACATGGGGGGTCAGGACCCAGAGCCAGGTCACTCTGGGTCCCCAGCACACAGCACTCACATCAGGCCTTCCTAAATATATGCCCACAAATAATCACATACATGATGCAGACCTGAATCACTGCCAATGAAGAGAACATCTTCATGGCTCGTGAATGTAAGACACACTTATGCCCTCTAAGTTAGGGTGGAAGTATCAACCTTGTCTTTAGAAATCTGTGTTTTATGTAGCTTAAGCAATCATCTCCTCCCTCAAAGTCATAAGGATGAGTCCCTGTATTTTATTCTTCACTATTTTAGTTTTGCTTTTTATAGCAAGATCTTTAATTCATCTGGAACTTAGTCTTGTATAAGGTGTGAGGGAGGGATCTGATGTTACTTTATTCTGTATCGATTCCTAGTTGTCCCAGCAGCATCTGAGACCCCCTTCCTGACTCACTGCCCTGTCATGATGCCTTCCATGTCCCCCAGCCCAGAACTGGGCCCATTACTGGGCCCTTGGTTCCATATCCACAGTGGCCTCTGCTTATCCCTGGGCAAAACACCACACTGTCTTCATTATTTTAGCTTTAGAATATATCCTGATATCTGGCAGGGCAAGACTATTAAGAGAAACAATCTTTGCCACTTTGAAAGGATAAACAAAGGCATAATTGTTTAGAACGATACCCTTTTTACTTTCACAAGTTCACAAGCTTATGTTTGTAAAAATAATTTTTAAAAAGCTTCAATGAACCCAACAAGCAAAGCAAGGATACTAACAAAAAAGGGACAACGAGAAACAAACTTTAAGAACTTACCACACAATTTCCTCATCGTATATGAACTAGAAAGCAAAAGAAACAAAGGGCGGGGGGACAGATTTATTCCAAAAGCAGAACCAACCCAGACCCTTAAGCACCTCAAGCCGACATATACTGGCTTGTTACGTGTTTCACAGAAAGCTGGGCTCCTGTCTCCATGTCTCAGTTTCTAAGTGTAAACGGTGACCTTTCCTTGGTGGAAACCTCGGTCAGCACATGATGCAGTGTGAGGGCTGGGGTGGGGCTCCCGAGAGAAATGGCCTGTGCTTCATGATAGTCCAAGTACCCACGGGGGCCAACTGGCGGGGGTCTGTCCTCATTAATGGAAGAGCTGCAGAAACCAAGGATCTTAAAAACTGAAAAGGCACCTGTCTCTGTATGTATGTAGATACATACATTTGTCTATCTATATCTGTCTGTCTGTCTGTCTATCGTACCTATGTGTAGGGGTGGGGATGTGCAGGGAGGAAGGTGTGTTGTTTTTCTTAAAAACAGTAACTCTTTTGAAAACACTGAGGGTAAGGGACCCACTTGTACCATTTGAAGGGAGGCCAGGGGTGGTGGTGGTGATGCCATGGCTTCCCAAGAGGGCGCCGACGTTGCCTAACAACCCTACCTCGCATCTCCCAAAGGGGCAAAGATGACAGGTGCTGCTGTGGTCCAGGGGAGGACCCCTGTGACTGCCCCAGCCAGGCCTGGTGTGCACTGGAAGGTGGAGGAGCTATGCCCACCAATCTGATCTTGGAGACACCAAGGTCTCTACACAGGATTGCAGGAGAGGCCAGGGGGCTGTTGTCTGACTTGGGCCCATTACACCCTGGCTGTCACGGCAGGTGTCACACATAGGATCTTGCTTTGGGAAGCCACTTCGGAGAGGGCCATCCTGGCCGGGCATCACTGTGAGGCTCCCCAAAATCCAGGCTCTGAGGAAGAGGCATTCAACAGAGGGAGCCTGGTGCCACCCCCTGGGGAACTTGGGGGACATTTGTGGGGATGGTTTCAGTTTTCATAACCCAATGGAGGGCTACTGGCATTCAGAGGGGGTGATGGCCAGGGGTGCTAGCCAGCCTAGAACATGTGAAATGGTTCTAACGGAAGAGTTATTCTGTATTTGTCATACACTTTAAATATCTCCTGCTAAATATTTAGGCAAGCAAAAAAAAAAAGAATCTGAGCCTCAAACTTAACTCCATTTTACAAATCAAAGTTTTTTCCCATGGTTTTAATAAATGCTTAATTTTCTAGTGAGTGAACTGTCACGCAAATTAAGAGACAACTGTACTCGGCTGTTTAAGATTTTATCAGGAGTCATTGATAATTTGGGGAAATGACATCAATGTGGGCACCACTCACGGGGTTTATGTGCCAGCCCAGCACACCTCGGTCTGCGCTAGTAGTCGTTGGCCTCAGAGATTTTTCTATATGGGGACAACAGATGACATCATCCTGTGTTCTAACATCTTCGTGCCAAAACATTTACATACTGGAAGATCCATTCTTCTGTTATAAACTACTTTCATTTGTCCTTTATAGTACAGTCTATGTATTTTTTAACATTGTGTGTAGGTAAACTGTTTTATCTATAACTTCCATTTTTAGGGGCGTGGTGAGTGCTCTCAGATGCCCCAGCGAGCCCCTAGCCTGATGTTCATGCTCCGCTTGTGTATGTGGCCTGGACTTGGGGATCTGCTCCTAACAGAATACGGCAAAAGTGCTGGGTTGTCACTTCCGAGATTTGGTCACAAACAGACCATGGCTTCCATCTCGGTGCCTCCTCACTCTCGGTTGGAGGGAAACCAGTTGTCATTCTGAGAGCTGCACCTTGGAACAGCCTGAGGCCTGCCCGCAGCTGCGCAAGGGGTCCTGAAAGCAGGTCCTCATGCAGGGAGCCCAGAGATAACTAAACCTGGATGACACCTGTGAGAGACCCGAGCCAGAGGGCTCAGTGAAGCCACTCCCAGATTTTGATCCATAGAAAATGACAGCAATGAATGTTTGCTGTTTTAAGCTGCTGAGTGTTAAAGGAAAGTTGTTACACAGCAGCAGATAACTAATACAAGGGTCGTGACTCTCATCCCCAGTTGGTTCTAGATCTTGTAAGGTTGAGAACTGTCACTCTAGGGACTGTCCATATCCTAGAATGTGGGGATGCCACTTGCATCTGCCCTCACTGAATACGACCTGCCCTCACGCCACCACTTTAGAGCTCCTTTTGGATGGAAACCACTTCCCTGTGGATGACATGGTCCTCGGCAGTAACGTGTCACGGGCTTCACTGCTGTCACTGTCATGTGCCATGAGGTCCCCCCAGCACTCTGAGGGGCCACAGGGATAATACCCCCCACACACTAACGGGCCCCAGGGATCCCTGGTTTGCCTCCTCTTCTGCCCCCAGCCTTGCTCCCAGCTGGCCTGACTGCTCCCCAGTGGGCTGGGAAACCACAAACTCTGCTCCTAGCGAACAGGCTCTGAGTGAGGCTCTGAAGGGCCTCTGATGAGCACGTGTTTGAACCTAAATGCATGAGGCGCATGACGCCTGCTTTAGTTTTTCCAAGGCCTTTTTGCCCTGAAGGTGGTCCCTGGATGCACTCAATAACCAAAGCGTCAGGTGTGAGGTTTTTGGGAAAGGGGGGCACTGTGGCAGGGGATTGGTCAGTGTGACTGCAGTCAGTGGCCAGCACACCCCAGGGTGGGGATGCCGTGGGTTCTCTGGTTACAGTGCCAGGGACAGGGGTGGGCAGGGGCCCGGTGCCTTCACAGGGGAGGGGGAAGGGGGTAACTCACGGCAATGAGCACGATGACAGAGAGGGTGTAGTACACGGAGTCTCGGCACACGGCCCACCATGTCAGACGGACCACCTGCCGAGCAAAGGGCCTTCAGTGTTTATTGGCCTGGGAGATGGAGAGCAGGGCAGGGGGACATAGCTGGGGGGCTCCCACCACCTCCAAACCCTGCAGGTGCAGAGACATGCCCATGGAGCTCATTGTAACTGCGCCATCAGATCCCCACCTTGCCTGGCTGCCCAAGGCCACCCTGTGCTTTTCATTATAACAGAACAACATGCATAAGTGACGGCAAAGCTACCCCCTGCTTCTCCACGGTGACCACGTGGCATGTTTCCCAGCAGAAGCCAGGTGTCAAAGGGAGGCCAGATGTACTCACTCTCCGCCACCCACGCTGGAACCTTCTAGGGGTGACTGGATGCTGTACCTCTACCTCCCTTGGCCAGACAAAGCCTACCCATGACCTTGCCTCTCTGAGGTCAAGTCTAATGTCCCCCTGTGGCTCTGAGGACCAGGAATATGCGATGGGGTATCAGCAACAAGCCAGCTTCATGGGGAAGTTCCCTGCGGGGAGGCCCTAGGCAGGCCCTGATTATTTCTAGAGTCTAGCTCAGGGTCAAGGTTACAGGAGGCTCCTCTTAAACATTTACACTGTTTAATGAATGCTCCCCCTCGGACTGGCAGGCAGCTGATACACTTCCTGCTCTCAGAGGCCCCCCAAGTGCCAGGGGTGGAGGGAACGTTGGGCACCACTGTTACACATGAGGAAACGGGCTCAGAGGGAAAGCCACGGCTCAAAGCCACAGGGAGTTACGGGCAAGGCCAAGGCTGGGCCTTGGGTCTCCCCACCCTGTCCCTGTGTCATTTCATAAGGAGAGAGAAACCACTGACCTGCCCTGCAAATAACCCACAAACGCCAATGATACACAGGATATTGAACACAGCAGAGCCCACGATGGTCCCAACCCCGACATCTCCGTGGGTGATGAACACACCTGGAAAGAGAAAGGCACAAATCGTCCCCGGCAAAGCCCAGGCCTGCCTGGCTGGCTCTAAGCCTGTGCCCCTCACCCATGAACAGAGGGAATTTATTCTTACCATCAGAAAACACCTACGATGTTGGTGAGAATGGCAAAACCAGAGGTGGAAGTGCCCCCAGGGATCGGCTACTCCAATCTCCCCCCCCTTTTTTTAAACAGCTTTATCTATCTATCTGTCAGTCAGTCTGTCTGTCTATTTATTCAGGGGTTTGGCTTCTTTCACTCCATTTTTTAAAACAGCCTTATTGAGATGTAATTTACATGCCATAAAGTTCACCCAGTTAAAATATCAATTCAGCGTTTTTTGGTATAGTCACAGAACTGTACAATGCTCACCACAATCTAGTTTTAGAATGTTTTCATCACCCCAAAAGGAAATCCATACCTGTTAGTACCTCACTCCACCCCACGCCCCAGGGAACCACTAATTCACTTTCTATCTCTCCATTTCTACCATTTTACAGATGAGAAAACTGAGGCTCAGAGCTGACAAATGCCCTCACTGGTGGGATTTCATACCAATAACAGAGGCAAACAGTTCCGGCGTCGAGCTTCCTGCAGCCATGAAGGTGGCTCCAGCCACATCTTCACTGAGATGGAGTTTCTGAAACAGAAGTGACCGCAGCCCCTCAGGCTCTGACGTAGGGGCGGTGGACACACGAGCTGGACACTCGGCAGCCAGGAAGAGGGTGGGGGAACAGCACCATGGCCAGAGCCAGGCTCCTCAGCTGGCAGCCTCCCCTCCCTGCACTTTGAGCGCATGCCCTCCTCCACTCTGCCGGACACCAACCCAGAATCCCATCTTCTCTCCTCATCGGTTAACTTCTGTTCATTCTCTGAGCTTTTAAACGATGTCTCCTTGATAAAGCCTTTCTAGGCGGCCACCCTGAGCCAGGTGCTGCCCTGGGACAGGCACAGTGTTTGGTCCTCCACTGCTGAAACACAAACCACACAGTGAGGGTCTGAGGTCCATTCACGTGCCCTCCTTGCTGGATGACGAGGGCAGGTTTGGTCTTTTTCATCTTTGGATCCCCAGTGCTTAGAACAGGGCCTGGTGCTCAGTGAGAATTCCACCAGTCTAGAGCCCATCACATCTGGTGCCCACACAGACCTTGGGTACCATGCCGACCTCCACATGTCAGGGTTGTGGGACCCAGAGGCCTTGGGGGACACACAGCCCGCCTCCTGCACCCAGAAGGCCTTCTCAGTGGCAGGGCTGATACCTGGCTGCTCAATGAGACAGAGGCCCATCCTCTGATCTGGAATGTGGTGCTGGAAGCTTTGAATGCTTGGGGAAACCATGGAGATTCTGGGTCCGCCTGAATGCCAATTTGAAGGTGCCCACCTGCAGGTCTCAGAAGGCCTCTGGGCAGGCTGGCTGAGGGTAGGGCTCAGCCTCCTCCAGCCCCCATCCCGCCTCCCAAAGTACGTCGGGCACTTTGGAATCCCCGGGCCAGCACAACCTCCCCATAGAGCTTACTACAGAAGGGTTGGAGCTCAGGGCTTGATGGAAAATGGGGGCACAACACTGACCCCCAGACAGAAGCCTGGCCGCCTGACCCTGCCAAAGAGGTATCATGGAAGAGGTTCAGCTATCAAAGTACATCCAATTGCTTCCTGCAGAATCCAAACCATGCTACATCCTGTCCTGCCTTCCCCCTGCCTTTGTCATTTCTTCCCTCTGGAATGCCCTTCCCCTTCTGCTCTGCCTGTGGAAATCCTTCTCACTTCAACACCTGGACCAAATGTCATCTCCTCCAGGAAATGTTCCTGGGTTTCCCTTCAAAAGAACCTCTTCCCTCCTCCTTTAGGCTTCTGAGCCCTTGGATAGCTCTCCCCAGAGCCCCTTCCATCCATCTTGCCAGGATCATCACCCTCACCCACCTCTGTGTTTTTAGGGAGGCAGGCAACCCTGCAGGGCACCTCCACTGTATGTGGTCTTGTGCCTTCAGTCACCCATTTCCCATGGGTTTCTGTCAACCCGAGGTGGGGAGGGGTCCCAACTCTGCGGCCGTGACATCCAAGCTCTTACAATGATGGGTGACTGGGGTGCACATTCCGTAAGGACCAGCTGACTGTTTTCCCCCAGGGCTTCCTCTGAAGTAGCGACAGGCTGCCAGCTGCCTGTAGCAACCGCTTTACCCTCAGCCCGCCACTCCGGGGACCCGCCCCTGGGCTGAGCCTCCTGCCCTGACACCCCAGCAGTCATTTCCTGATTCTGTTCCTTATGCTCTTTCTCTGGCTCATTTCTCTCTCTGACAAGTGTCTTGATGGTGGTAAGCACATGTCTCGATCTGGGTGGGGGGAAGGGTGGGGACAGGGGCGGGCAGGGGAGGGAAAGGCCTTTGCACACTTTGGCCAGATCATTCACTATTTAGAAGACCCAGGTCAAAAGCAGCCAGTCCTGCTGTGTGCTCAGCAGGCGACAAAGCAGTGGGGAAGTGCTGATTCCCAACAATCTGTGTCCCCAGCTGCAAACGTCCCAACAGCAACATGTCCTCAGACAGCTGGGAGACTGCATGCAGATGAAGTGTGCTGACGCCAAGCGCAGCCTGCCCACAGCAGGTGCTGAAAACAGAGGTCGTTTTCCTTCCTTGGCCAGAAGCCAAGAGTCAGAGTAAAAGATCGGAGTCTTGTACACGAGGAGAAAGAAGTGAAAAATTGACAGAATAATTAAAAGGAGAAAATGTCAGGCTGCAAAGGTTAGGATGGAGCGTCTTCCCTGCAGGTGCAGCTTGGCACCCTCCCTGGGGACACAGAGCCCCACCTGGTACCTGCCCCCTGCACCTGGTTTGGGCAAACGCTCCCTAACTAACCAGGTTTGACTCAACTACCCGTGCCTGCATTAAAGCCAGAGGCCGTGGGTAATGATTTCTCGTGGGGAGCCTTTTCTTCTGCCAAGCTCTGGGACAGGACGCCACCCCTCTAACTCTAATTTGGGGGGTTCAGAGCAAGGCTTTGCCATGAGCATGGCAAGCGCTTAGGCTGACAACCTTCACCTGCAGGGTGCTCCCCACTCCAGCCCCTTCTGGCCTGGTACTGACGTGCCACATGTTGTTCATCCCCAGGCCCCTCTCACGTACCTCGCAGATCTTCTCTAGAGATGGAACAAAGAAGTCATCACATACTATGGCCAAGGCGTAGAACATGTACAGAGCCTGTGAAGGAAACGGGAGACAGCGTCAGCCTGCACACCTGCCACCGCCGGGCACGGCCAGGCACCCATCACGCGCCAAACCAGCCCGCTCAGGCAGAGGCCAGGTGAAGGGACGGAGGCACAGAAGAAAATTCCAGCACCATTGAGATGTGCTTTCTCAATTCCCCCCAGACAGATGGGGAAACTGAGGCCCTAACAAGAGAAATAACTTGCTGAGCAGCAGAGGGGACAAAAACTCGGGCCTGTGTCCCTTCCTCTCTTCTTAAAGAAGCAGCTCTCTCTCCAGCACCAGGGTTATACCCTCAAAAGGCAAGATCCTAACCTTATGGGCCAAGACGAAAGCATCTGAAATCACCATTTTAAGAGTTTAAAATAATCATCCTCCTGGTTTCCCCTCTTTAGTTTTAGCAAAGGCATCACTTCCTTGTCATCAACGGCCCACCCCCTGCCAAAACAGACGGCCACTTGAGACCCAGCATTTCCTGCGACACTACTTGATGTTGGCCCAGGTTATAACACACAAGCCATTTACACTGGGAGGCTCATAGACAGAGTTCAGATTCCAGGGCTGATCCTGGGAATTACCTGCCTTGTGACTTTGGATAAGTCACGTCTCCAGGTCTTAGTTTCCTCATCTGTTTGATGACAGAGTAAGAACAGATCAGTGGTTTTTAGATGGTTTTCCTACAGAACCCCTCCCTGACCTGTCTACCCAAGACAGCTTTACTGAGCTGGTCTTATGTGCCAGGTACTGTTCTAGCCATTAGGGGTATGTGGTGACGATGCCAGGAAAAGCTTCTGCCTCTTATAACTTACCTTAAGGCAAATAAAGTATAACTCCCAGGAAACAGTAAGTGCAAAGGTCCTGAGGCAGGGGCCTGTTTGATGAATCTGAGGAACAGTAAGGTCACTGGTGCCGGTAGAACAGAGTGAGAATAAGGTAGAAAATGGAGAACGTGAGGTTGGAGGGAGAGGCAAGGACCAGGACCCGCAGAAAGGAGATGGGATTTTACCACTGGGGGGAAGCCATTTCCTTCTTCAAAGAAAAAGTGATGTAAATGCCCTGTTCGCAAAAGAGGGAAAGGCTGGGCTGCTTCAGCTAAAACAGTGTGATGTTCTGACAACTGAACAATTAATCGTGATTAAATAAAGGGGAAGATCTATCAGCTGTGACCAAAGCATCCAAGGCAGACGTCTACTGAAGTCCAGGCGTGGCTGTCCTTGGATATGATTCATTATCTTTTGGGGGGAAGCAAAGAGACACAAATACTGAGGGTGTGGGTTCCTGCAAAATTCCTGAGGTCCTCTCAGGTTCAGGAAAAAAGGCTTTGTCATAGCAACGCCAAGACTTTCATGAGGCAGGGGGACAGAACTGCAGGACTAATTTGCCAAACCCACACCCCCTTAGTGAAAGGGGAAGGCATGGGAAACCCAGAGACACTGGGAAGATAATAATTATTACAGAAATAATACACAGGCCTATCACTCAAAATCTGCCGAAACCTTCATTCTCACTAATGGCTTACCCTATTAAATAAAACGTCACTCATTCATTATTCTCCAGCGGCTACCACCTATGAGAATCCCAGCCTTCACTTGCTCAATTGTCTCTCGCAAAGACTGATACTTGGTTGGGTTTAAATACGTAAGTGGGTGGTGCTGGGTGGTTGGGGAACCTGATCAGGAGGAACATGTGCTATGGTTGATCCAACACAGAAAAGCAAACCCTGGACACCTTTATTTCCCCGCACCAGACAACAGGGCTGGCAAACTTTTTCTACAAAGGAACAGACGGTAAATTTTTGTGGCTTTGTGGACCACGGAGTCTCCATCACTACTACTCAGCTCTGCCACTGAGGCACAAAAATAGCCACAGATGCTGTAGAAATGCATGAGAATGGCTGTATTCTGATAAAACTTTATTTACAAGCACAGGCAGTGGCTGCAGGCTCTTGTTTGCCTACAGAGAAGAGTGACTTTGACCTGTAGTTTAGGCTGGAGCCCAGTACGCCTTCTCGAATTGCTATCTGTACTCTACCACGGGTCATCAGGGCTCATCTAACACCGAGGGAAGTTTGGGAAGAAGCAAGTACAGTTATGTCAAGGTGGTAAAATGGGTGTAAGGTCATGCTAGTAAGCAGGGATGGAGCACTTATCCTGTGCCACGCGATGTCCGATGGACTTGACCCACATTCACTCATCTTTACCCGTCTGGGAAAGATGCCGTCACACCTATTTTATAAAAGCAGTAAAGGAGGCACAAGAAGACTTGAATCCTTGACTTGGTTCTGGGGCCACTCGCTGTGTAACACTGAGCAAGTCACTTCATATTCTTAAGACTTCATTTCTTTGTGGTTAAAATGCATCCAGAATCTGTTCTCACAGAGCTCCTACAAGGCCTGGACAGGACCTTTGACATGCTGTGCTCTGAAGACAGGCTTTCCCTGCCAACAGTTGAGGGACTTTTGACCCCAAGAGGACCACTTACACCGAGGATGTGCAGCAGGACGGCTCCGTGCTGTCGCTCCTGATTGGAGAACAGGTCTGCGGGGAACTCGTGAATGGCTGAAAGATAAGAGGACACGGCAGGGTGTTAGTTACCCACGAGCATCACTTGAGACCTAGGGGTCAGACAGGGAACTGTGGAGCCCCTCCGTGTTAGACTGCCCTGGGAGGAGGCCAGCTGCTTCTCCTCAGTCCAGGGCAGACCTGCACTCTTAGGAAAAACATTGCTGAATGCAATGTTTATCCAGAGAGTCTAATACCTTAGAGTTGATTGTGTTTTGCATATTCCTTGCAATTAAAAAAAATGAAACACTTCATACCCACTAGGATGTTATAAACAAAAAAAACAAGTAAGTGTTGACAAGGACGTGGAAATACTGGAACCCTCATACATGACTAGAGGGAATGCAAAATGGTGCAGTCACATTGGAAAACACTCTGGCAGTTCCTCAAAAGGTTAAACATGGAGTTACCATATGACCCAGCAATTCCAGTCCCAAGTACCCACCCAAGAGAAACGAAAACATACGTCCACACAAAACCTGGACACGAATGTCCATAGTAGTAATATTCATAAAAAACTAAGATGTGGAAACCCAAACATTACCAACTGATGAATGGATAAATAAAACATGATATAGCCATACAAACGGAATATTATTTGGCAATAGAAAGAGGTGAAGTACTGATACATGTTACAATGTACACGGAGCTTGAAAACATTTTGCTCAGTGAAAGCAGCCCATCACAAAAGACCACATGTTGTGATTCCATTAATACAAAATGTTAAGAACAGGCAAATCTATTGAGGAGGAGGTAGATCAGCGGTTACCTACGGCTGGAAGATATGGGGGATGACAGCTGAGAGGTACCAGGTTTCTTTCTGGGGTAATGAAAAAGTTTAAAATCATGGCGATGCTTGTACAATTCTGAATATATTAAGAGCCATTGAATTGTATACTTTAAATAGGTGAATTACATCCCAATAAAGTTGTTACCAAAAAAAAGTATAAAATGGTCAAAAGACACCAAAGAGAAAATCAGGGGGATGGTTCCTTGCTTTGTCAAAGCCTCCAATCACATTTGCAGCAGTTTCCCAAGTGGCTCCAACATACAGTGGGATGTGTTACAAATGCAATCAGGTTGAGGTTGGAGACAGCTGTCCCCCCGGGGAGGGCAGGCCCCAAGGTCACATGGCCAAGTTCAGTTTTCAGCTCTAATATTTACAGGCTGCATCGACAGGGACATTCCTTAACCTTTTTGTGCTTCAGTTTCCTTACCAGTAAAACAGTGAGACATTTTAATAATGTGCCTTACCCTTTAAGCGTGTCAAGCTTGCGGTGAGCTTCAACCAGCCCTCCCAGGACTCTGGAATACTCTCCCCCTGCCATGGCCAAGACCCAGCTGAGAAGCAGGCTCCATGAAGAGAAGAGGGGAGGGCTCACCGCTGAGTCATTTCAGAGCTCAGGATAGGCGTTCTCCTGCAAAGCCCTGCCAGCTGGTCCCAGACCCGTCAGCCCCTTCTCTCACAGTGGATCTGTCACTCCAGGTGGGGAAGCAGAGATCCCAGAGAGGACAAGTGACAGTGGCAGGGTCAGGGATGGCAGTGCCCAGGATGGCACTAGAAAAATCTCCTGCCCACCACTTGAGCACTTTTTTTTTTTTAAAAAAAGAGCTGCGCAGAGCAGGGGAAATGATCTACGTGGAGGTGAGGCTCGAGGTAAACCTTGAAGGGGGATCTGAGGCTAAGCTTGTCCCCTTGTCCCCTGGGCCCCTCAGGCACCAGGTGTGTCTCCATTAGCATAGTGGCATCTTGGGTCATTAAGCACCATGTCACCAGCCCTGCTTCGGCACTGAGAAAGCCCCTGTGAGGTGGGCACCACCACTCCTGTTCTGGGTTCTCATCGTCCTGGAAGGTGGGGGCAGCCCCATGAGGTGCAGAGCCCCCTGCTTTGGGAATCAAACACTCGGAGTTCAGGTACCCTCCCTGACACCCTAAAGTGGTCTGAGCAACGCTTCTTGGGCCTCAGAATATTCACATTTAATGGAGGAATAATTCCTTCCCACCTCCCATTTGAGACGACCAGCAGGTAAGGATTTTGTGAATGTCATTTCTGCAAGTCCTCTGTCAGACACTGCCACACCCCCATGTCCTCATCACTGGTCATCACCTCAGCTGAACTAGAAGCTTCGAGAAGGCAAGAATGCACACTGCCCTGTACTGCATTCTCACTGCCCTGGCCAGGCCTGGCACACAGTAGGTTCTTAATAGACCTTAACAGTCAGTTGAATAAACAATGCTAAAATACTAACAAAAACAACCACCTGCATCTTCTCATCCTATTAGAGTGCCTTCATTACCCTCGCAAACCCCTTAAATACCTAGAATGCTACTTGGCTCATAGTGAGCACTTGATAAATGTGTATAAATAAACTTCCAGGAAAAAAAAAATCCCTTGTCTGTAAATATAACTTGGCTCTAAGCTCTGAAAGTGATGATTTCTCCCTTAAAACAGAAAAAAAGTTTTTCATTTTTTACGATTAGATTCTTCCAACAAGACCAAAAAACATTAGCTTCCCAAACACCCAGAAAATGTTCCCACTTTAAAACAAGCAGCATTTAATGAAATACAGATTCTTTTACTTTTTTTCCTGTAATCAACCTTCTTTAATAGGATTGCTCTGTCAGTTCAAGGCCATGGGTCTACTTCAAGGTCTGGTGGCTCTGAGATGGAGAATTAAAAAGGGAGAAACTCGGCATTCCTGTGTCCAGAATCTTGTTTCCAGGAGAAATGTAACTGTCTGGGATATTTCAGGACAGATCAAGTAGACATTTCTGCCATGAAAATTCAAGGCAGTCTTTGATTCTCCAAACCAGCGATTTGAGAGCTGGTAATTTACCCAATGCAGGGAATTCTTGGAAAATTAGAATCGAGTAATGCTGCCTTTCTGCTATAAGGACATATCAGCTGGGCTCCTGCAGCGGGGGACGTGGGTTATAAATGGCTTTGTCCTTGGCAGGGACAGACTTCTGCTGGGCTAGACACAGCACCTTGCTCTGTGTCCCCAGGAATATGCCGCAAGGCTGCGGAGGGGAGCGAATACCCTTCGCTTTGCCAGCAGAGACAGAGGAACCAGCAGAGCCACCAGCTGCTAATGACCCATCATCACCGTCTGTACCTACAAGTCTTCTGGACACACCCTGAACACATCAGGCGGGCACTGCAGCCACAAATGTCCCTGTTTTCCAGAAGATACTCAGCAGGGGAGGGATGGGTTCAGGGACCATATAAGCCAGAACTCAGTGGAGGACCCTGAGTCCCTCCTTCAGGTTAAGGGCCACCTCTAAGTCGGATGGGAACCGCGCTGCACTGGGAGATGGAAGACTTGAGTTACAATCTTGATTCAACTGCCCACGAGCCTGCGGTACCCCGACTGAGTCATTAACATCTTGTCCTGCTACTTCTTCAGGGGCAATCTGCTGCCATGCGAGGTGGTGAAACGTCATCGTCACTGTGTGTGGCACGCCCTGGCGTGGATACCAAAGGCTGCAAACAGGCAGATGGCTACCCCGCCCTCCCCAGTTGGCAGCTGGCAGCTGGGACCAGTGCACTCTCCAGTGCAAGAGTCAAATCCTCTGGAAGTTGGTATCGGGGGGGGGGGTACAGACCACGACGCATGTGCAGCAAGAACTCTGTCCCTCCCACCTTTGTCATCAACAGAAACAATTTTAAACTGCCGGCAGCCTACACAGCTGCAGAAGGCATTATCTTTAGAAGCAGGTAACTTAAGTTTCAGAAGTCTCTTATTTGTTACCCGCATGACCTTGGCAAGTTGTTTAACACCTCTGGGCTGTGACCTCACCTATAAGTGGGGACGCTGCAGAACCTGCCCACCAGGCTGCCGTAAGGATTAAGTGATACAGAGAATGCATGCACAAGCACTTTGCCCAGCTAGGCTACGTCACTCTGAGGATCCTTAACTTACAGAGTCCTCCCTCCATACCCAGTCTGTCCCCACTGTTTCAGGGACCTGCTCTGTGAAAGCAAAAGAGAAGAGGAAACCAGCTTCGTGGGGAAAAAAGCGAGCACGACGATACTGGCCACATTAGGACCTGAATGCTGGTGCAGCTCCATCTCAGCCTCCTGAGAAAATCTTCTTCATCTCTCTTGGGCATGCTGGGATTAGGAGCCCCCGGCCATGTTCAAGGCCGTGATGCTTGCGTGTCTGCGAGGGGCCGAGCCGGCCCTATCTGCTCAAATCCCCACCAGGGAGAAGGGAGAAATCAACAGGGCGCACACAAGCAGCTTTTGAGGTCATGAGTAAGCCTTTAAGCCGCAGAAATCGGGAGAGTGGTGAGCGCAGGGAGAGAGAAGAGATGTGTCTGCAGGTGGAGCTGAGCTCAGGAAACCTGAGATGATTCCAGTACCCACCATACCCAGAGGGGGTGGGGGAGGAGCGGGGGAGGTAAAGCAGTCAGCGAGCCAGCAGCCTCCTCAGCCCGGTTTTAGGATTTTTCCTGTGGACCAGTCTGCACCCCACTCCACTGTGTCGGGGGCAGGGAGAACGGGGGCGGGGAGGTCTTTCCTGCCAGTTGCCTTCCTGAGCATTGAAAGGGAAACCATAAGGTCCCTGGGGACAAAAGCGTCTGCCCCCCTGCCCCCCTCCCCCATCACCAGCTACCAAGTTCTCTGACATCTTAGAAGACAGACCCCTGGGGCACACTTGACCTTTTTCGTTGACACACGAGGTTACATGAGTGATGCCGTAATATTTCATAAACCCTGCATTCCTGTTGCCCTTTCAAGGCTCTCTACTTCGGCCAACATTGCTGCTGGTTCCCAAAATGTATTAATTTGTTCAACAGGTGTTTACTGCACACCCACTCAGCAGGCGTTGGACTCTCTGTAAGCGGGCGGATGAGGTCCTGATACATCCTCACGCCTGGCGGCTCTTCATCTTGGAGGGTGATTGGACTTTCAGAGAAAACCAAAATGATTCAGAAAGCGGTAGGTTATCAGGATGGTCAACACTCTGCTCCTGAATGAGTACAAGTCAAT